ACCGGACACTAGTCTGGCTTAGTTCATTTTAAAGGCAAATGAAAAAGCACACTATTTTATATTCCAAGCTCCTCCTATGGGGATAACCACCTTCGTTCAGACTCCTCCGCCATTTTCAGCGCCAACATCTCGGCCTCCAACACTTTTTGTTCCATCAACCGCTTCTCTTCCTCTGTCCGGATCGCCGTGGCTTTGATCCGTTGCATTTCCTGCTCCGCCTCGGCTGCCTTTTGAGCCAGGAGTTTGGCTTCCTCTTCGGTGATCTGAGCTTTTTCAGCCAGCAAGTCGGCGGTTTCTTCCGATCTCATCTGGGCGAGAAGGACGGAGAATTCAAACACGCGAAGCCTGACCCGTTCGACGGAAGCCTGGATGAATCCCAAAGCTGGGGAATGGGTCCCAAAGGTTTAAGAATACAGGTAGTCCTGGACTTGCAACGGTTCATTTACTGACCCTTCGAAGTTACAACAGTGACGGGCCTGAGATGAGCAACAGAATCCCAAGGGTGGGATTCCACTGACTGGTTTGGGCGAACCGGATGTTAAATTTACATCTGGTTCGCTGAACTGGTAGTTGAACCGACTGGTTGGCCCCACCCACCCTACCCCACTCCTCCCAGGAGTCTCACCATGGCCTGTTTTGGATGCAGGTAAGTGTAGGGTCAGAGTGGAGGCTCTGGGAGGGCAAAAAACGGGCTGAAGCAGAAATTCTGGACGTCCGGAAACGGGCCTGTTTCCGGCTTCCAGAGGCTGGAGGAGGCCATTTTCGCCCTTCCAGAGGCCTGAGGGAAGCCTCCGGACTCTGGGGAAGGTGGAAAACGGCCCTCCCGGAAGTTCCGGTAGGCCACGCCCACCCAGCAACCGGGCAGCAAAGTGGTTGCTGGGATTTTGGCATCCCACCCCTGAATACACCTCCTCCACCAACTATCCTGGATAAAACGTCCCTTCCCAGAAAGAAACACTTTTGTAGGTAAGACTCTACCTGTAGAAGCATCTTGAGGGACCTACCAGAGCTTCATTTGCCATTGTGGCCTCCTCTTTCAGCTGCAAAAGTCTCCTCTCCATCTCATCTCTTGTGCGTTCGGCCTCTTCTCTCATCTGCTTCTCTCGGGCTAAACGCTGGCGCTCCATCTGGGAAGAAGCAAGCGATGGAGGGGAAAAGGAGAATTAAAAACAGCAAATGCGTGCAGATCATAGGCATTCGGCAAAGAAAGTGGTGGGGTGGAGATCTCGCCTCATCATCAGGAGGCTGTGAGTTCCAATCCCAGTGCCATAGGTTCGCCATCACGGAGTTAGGATCTTCTCCCTAAGGCAGGGTGGCCTGCAACCTTAAACACTCACAAGAGCCACTGGGACCCGTTTCCCACAGAAAAGACCAGGAGATACAAAACCTGGGTGGGCGTGGCCAAGTCAATGTCACTCCCACCCAGTCTCATGACACATACACACACCCCGGCCTCGCCTACCCCGGTTTTGTGCCTCCCGGATGGGAAATATCTCTCTCTCTCTCTCTCTCTCCCTCCCTCCCATTTCTCTTTTTGTATGGTTTACCTTCTCAGGCCAGGTGAAGAGTGACCGGGAGGGGAGGGTGAGGGGCAGGGCCAGCCGGTGGTGGGATCACCCAACAAGGAACCACAGCAGAGGGGCCCCAAGAGCTGCATGTGGCTCCAGAGCCACGGGTTGCCGACACCCGCCCTAAGGAAACCCAGGACCAGGGCTTTAATCTTAAGACCCCTGTACCCATTTTGGGAGCATCTCTTAAGACCCAACAAAAGTTGTTTCCCCAAATGTTTTTGGCTTTGCAGACCGGGGGACGGTCCCTGCGTGCAGCCGGCAAGCGTGCGCAGCTCCATGGGCTGCGGCTCACAGGTTGCCGGGAGGGGGGGGGAAGGGGAGACCTCCTGACCCCAAGAGGCTCGGTTGCCGCCTCTCGTGCTCTCTTAGCAGCTTACCCAGAAGTGGCCATTAAATATTCCGCGTGGCACTCTACAGATTAGCTGTATGGGTTTCAGCACAGAGGAAAGTCTCTGGGAGCATGATTCATGCAATCCAATTTGCAGAGATGCGCTCCCTGGCTCCCTGCTGCAGACTGCGATGTGCTGCGTCTGCCAGATGGGTGGAAAGGAGGCCAAGCCACGCATTAGCATGCAGGCAGCATGCAAGCCACACATCGGCACACAGTTCATTATCGTTTAATTAGGAGAGAGGAGGGCACAGCTCCTCCTTCCTCCTCCGACCTAGGCCCCTTTTTCCCGGTAACCGATTCCCTGCTCTCTCTCTCTCTCTCACACACACACACACACATATACACACCAAAATCTGGAGAAGAGGATAACAGAAAGAGGAGGTGCATTTAGAAAACACTCTGCAAAAAAAAAAAAAAATTTGGACACAACGTAGAACTAGAAGACTGGGAAAAACTATGGAGTAAGAATTATGCATTAACAAGGTTCCACAGCATATAAGGAGAATCTTTATAAGATGTTTTATCGTTGGCATTTGGCACCAATGAGATTGGCAAAGATGTACCCCAATATGAATCCAAGATGTTGGAAATGTAAAGAGAGCCAGGGTACCTTCTTTCACATGTGGTGGCTATGCCCCAAAGCCAAACAATACTGGGCCAAAACACGGAGTAACGAAACGTCAAATAGACTTTAAACCTAAACTGTTTCCTTTTAGGAATAATTAAGGGGAAATGTAGTAAAAAGACCAAATACAGGATATTACACACAACGACAACGGCGAGGATTGCACTTGCACAAGGTTGGAAGCGAGATAGTATACCGCCGGAGGAATTAGTAACCCAGAAGGCATTAGAATGTACTGAGGTGGATAAACTCACTCTAGAGCTAAAAGAAGAGTCAGAGTACTATGTTGTCTGGAATAATTGGTATGAATGGTTGAATAGTAGGAATAAGAATAGTAGAGATAAGAAAAAATGTATATAAATGAATTATAAATGTATGGAGATCTGTATATGGAACAACGACGCCATAGTGTTGTTAAAGATGAGAATGAGATTTGTAAATGTGAGAAAGCATAATAACAATAAATTTAAAAAAAAGAAAGAAAGCACTCTGTAGCACATGCTTGCGTGGACCTGCACACATACACTCAACACCTTTACACCGAAAGCAGACGGAAGGGCTGTGTCGGCAAAGAGCAGGGAAGAAGACCATAGTTGGTCAGGAGAAGATCTCCTTCATTTGAGGGACACCTGGGTATGAAAACCAAGGGTGGCAAAAAAGCAGCCCCCAAATCCCAGCGTTTGGCCAGGTTCCCCCCCACCCCACACCCCCGTTTTGTTTATTTAATGATCAGTTCACACAGCAACTTGGTGAAAAACAGCCTGGAAAAAAAAAAAGTTTATAGTTCAGCATCCTGCGCAGAAAAAAAACCCTTCCACCATCTTCCCAAGTCCGTTCTGGGGAGCCAAAATATGGTGTCAACTCATAAAATATTTCTATGGTCTTTTTAGAGTTGCCAACAGAAAGGGAGGGGGGAGGGGAAAGGGGTTTTGAAAGAGCAGGGTGGCAGGTTGTCAATCGAAAGTGCATTCCATAAATGGTTTCTCAAAGATAGGAGCTAGGCGACGGAAGTTTCTGCCGCGCAAATATCTAACTGGAGAATGTGATTGATGACTCTTGGCTATGGACGTGTCCCATTGGAGGATATGAATTATGATACACCCAGAGGGGTGGGGGGAAAACCAGGGTCAAGGGTGACAGTGAATGATGTGTCTCAGAGTCGGCTACACCCAGCCAGTGCCGGACATGTTAACTCCCCAATAAATCTTTTTGAACTTTTGGAAGTTTGGCTCGACACTCGTGATTTAATTGGGGGTTAAGTGCCGGAATCCTGACACATGGTTTATGATTTATTTCAGGCCCAGCAGGTCATGGGACAAGCCACTGTATGGCGTTCAGGATCTGGGACAGGAGGATCAAATTCGATTTCATTGAGGGCCGCATCAAGGTTGTGTTTGACCTCAGGGGGGCCAGGGCGGACATGGTCAGCTCGACGTCACTTGTGTCGGGAAGTGCTTATGGCGGCCCGTGCGCTCCGCCAGTGAAAACGGGCTCCCAAGCTCTGTTTTCGGCTGCGACGGCCTCCTACAACCCACTGCCAGTGAAAACGGAGCTCGGGAGGGCTGCCATTCCTTCCTTGTTTCGCAGGCAGCTCCGCGGGCCAGATCTAAGCGCCGGATCCGGCCTGTGGACCTCGAGTTTGACACCCCGATCTAGGATGTCTTGTGAACGCAGAGCTGACTTGTGTGAACTGGGACTATTCTCACCTGCTTCCTGGCTTTCTCCTCCCTGGCCTGGGCTTTCATTTGCTGGACTTCGAGGGAATCGGCCTTCCGTCTCCTCATGAACAGGTCGTGGTTGCCGATACAGAGCTGAAGGATCTGTGGCAGCCAAGAAGAAAGGAGGCAAGCTGGGTAAGTCCCATGTGTGAACAATGCCGTTTTTTTTTTTTTTTAAATCCATCCCGCAGAACCGGAGGACAATGGATCTGTCCCAAGACTCACAAGAGTAAACCGGTAAAGCACAAGAGCTGTTGTGATCTGTCCCTTAATGGTGCTGAAGACAATTGAATGAAACTTGATTCAGCACCACAATACTGGATAAGAGAGAAATGCAGATTACAACATTCAGAGAACAGACTGTTCCAGGGAATGCTGGAATATTTTTTTGTCCCGAGCTATGTCTTTCCTCACATCCTAGACATCAACTGTTTCAACTCCCACCCACAAAACAACGCTATAGAGCACTGTACACCAGAACAACTAGACACAAGGACTGTTTTTCCCCGAACACCATCACTCTGCTAAACAAATAATTCCCTCAACACTGTCCAACTATTTACAAAGTCTGCATTACTATTACTACTACTATTAATCTTCTCATCACTCCTTATCACCTCTCCCCTCCCACTTGTGACTGTATGACTGTGACCTTGTTGCTTGTATCCTAACAATTTTTACTGACTATTTCCTAGTATGATTTGATTTCTTATTTGTACCCTGTGACTGTTGTACTTTATGATTCTTGACTCTTGACAAATGTATCTTTTCTTTTATGTACACTGAGAACATTTGCACCAAGACAAATTCCTTGTGTGTCCAATCACACTTGGCCAACAAAGAATTCTATTCTATTCTATTCTATTCTATTCTATTCTATTCTATTCTAT